AAGATCAGGGGGCAGAGTGTTGGGGATCCCAGGGGAGACGTTTGAAGGACGGAAACCTGCTGGAGTCAGCCAGGCCTGGGTTTGAGTGCCTGGAAAGGTGTCTTGCGTCCCTTTGCGCAGACGGGCAATGGCTTTTCTGATTCACGTCACCCACAAGTCTTGACTCGCAGAAGAAAACTTGGCGAAGTTTCCTAAGGCGTGGCTCCGGAGGAGGCCCTGAGCCCCTGCGCACAGCTGCGGGCCCTCAGAGACGGCAGTGAGGCTGGGCTGCTTTCCCTCCGTTGAGCCCAGGAATCCCAAGGGTTTCAGGCAGTATCAGAAGCGGAGAGAGAGGCAGGGAACAGTCTCCCTCCGAGGCCCCCAGGAAGGAGCCAGCCCTGCTGACAGCGTGAAGTGGGACTTGCAGAACTGCGGCGGGAGCACCTGTTTTCAGTGTTTTCAGCACCTAGTTTGTGGTCATGGGTCACGGCAGCCCCAGGAGGCTAACAGCTAGCCCGGAATGCTCTCAGGAACGGGCCACGAGGATCCATCATGGCCGTATCCACATGGTGGCAACGTGGCTGCTGCCTCACCGGATGTCACTTCCAGGTTCCCGAAGGAAGACCAAGGGAGGCTGGAAAAAGGTTTGCAGGTGGCTGCTCGGGGGCCCAGGGCTCACTGCCGCCGCTCTGGGAGTCCTCTGCCCGGGGCAAAGACAGGGCCCTCACTGCAACGTGGTACGTGACCCCTGACATTCAGCTCGTTCCTGAGAAACTCCTTTCCTCAACTCTCTCAGCCTCCTCCCTCAGCAAATATTTGATCCATTACTGAGGATAAAACCGGTTTTTGCAGTGAGAGTGGAGGAGCCCGGCCTTCCTCACCCATGTTCTTGCTCGGAGCCTCTGTTTCCCCTTTTGCAAAGCGTGGGTCAGAGGGTGGGCCCCCTCCTTTTCCTTCTCTTTTCTGCACCCTGTTGAGGCCTCCTCCGGTTCCCAGATGCTCTTTGGGCAGCGGCCACAGGGTCCCTGAACTTGGTGGCTGGAGGGCTCCTGAGCCTGCAGCCTTCTCTTGGCCTCCCTCCCTCCCGCCTCACCTCCTCATCTGAATCTCCCAGCTGCTGAGTTAGCCTGAAAGGAAAATCTGACCGTGTCTCTTCCCAGCTGCAGACTAAGACCATCTGGTGTCCACCTGTCTGAACAGCAGGGTCCCCTGGGAAGCTTTGGGGCAGCAGAGCCCAGTGACACTGCAGCTCTGGGGGGCGGGGCCCTGACAGCTGGCACTGCAAGTCCCCCAGGAGCTGTGCTGGGCCGGCACGGCCATGAGGACCAGGTCCCAGTGAGGCGGCCCCCAGGGCCTTTCCTGCTCTGCACCCCGCTCTTAAGCCCACCCCAACTTCCCACCTCCAGAGCGGCATTCTTTGTGCCTCTGTTCCTTCGCTGCGCCCCTCTTCCCCCCAAGTCCCATCGGCCTGGCTCTCCACGCCCACCCCCCACTGCAGAGTCCCCTTCACCCTCCAGGGGCTGCCCTGCCCCAGGGCCTCCTTGCCCCTCTGCCCTCCCTCCCCTCCCTCTCAGGCCTCTCTCCGGCCAGGAACCCCAGAGGTCAGGGTCTGCACCCACGCGGGGGCCTGGGTGACTCCGAAGAACTTGCGGCAACAACATGGCTTGGGGCCTGTGCCTGATGGGTCTGTGCCGACCTGGGCCACACACGAGGGGCTTTGGGTTGTGTTTGCTGAGCACAGATGTCGTCCTCAGAGTGACCGGGACCCCCGACCTGGCCGACCTGTTCCCACAACCAGCCATGCCTTTCCCCCAAGCCCCTGACCTCTCCCAGGTCCTGTGACCCTGATACCCGTTTCCTGGGTCACAGAATCTCCGTGCCATAAAGGGGCACCAGCGACCGTGGGGCGCGCAGGTCTGGAGGGTGGGGTAAAAACGCACCCGGGACCGGTATCGGACAGAAAGGTGTTTCTGCATGATGTACTTCGCCACCTCCTTTTGGGAAGAAGCTAGCTTTGCAGATGAATGCTGTTAAAACACAAAATTTGGCTTTGTTAAGCGGAACCGGATAGCACCCCAGGTGGCAGGCAGAGGGGAGCTCCCGGAAGTGTACAAAACGGAAGGTTTTTACAGGAAAGAGGGTGCTGTGAGAGGTCATCAGCAAAAGGTAAGTTCGCACACGCAGAGACACTTTCCCTGGGTGTGGAGTGGGGAAGCCGGGAAGTGCCTGCAGGTCACCTGTTTGGGGGGAAGGGGCTGTGGCTGCGCTTCACCGGGTTGATCAGATAATTCTCATACCTGGTCAGGTTGCATTTCTGGGAGAGGCGGGAGCCGCAGCTAGATCAGGTTTAGAGGCCCAGTTTGGGGACTTGGCCCAAGTGACACCACCCCGGGCCTGTGCTTTTCTTTGTAACAGCAGTTTCTGTTACAGTTTTAACAGTTGAGACCTAGTCTGGAAAGTTCATTAGTGTTACCTCCTGCATGGTCGGCTGCCGGAGGCCAAGCATTCAGTGACTTCAGGCCGGCCTTCTTTCCTATCTGTGATCACTCTGACGGTGATCATTGAACTACGTTTTTAAAAAATCCCTACAGGGGCCCCTGGGTGGCTTAGTCGGTTGAGTGTCCGACTTTGGCTCAGGTCATGATCTCACGGTTTGTGGGTTCGAGCACCGTGTAGGGCTCTGTGCTGACAGCTCAGAGCCTGGAGCCTGTTTCGTATTCTGTCTCCCTCTCTCTGCCCCTCCCCTGCTCATGCTCTGTCTCTCGCTCACTCTCAAAAATAAATAAACCTTTATTTATTTATTTAAAAAAAATTTTTTTTAATGTTTTATTTATTTCTAGAGAGAGAGAGACAGCGTGAGCATGGGAGGGCCAGAGAGAGAGGGTGTCACAGACTGAAACAGGCTCCAGGCTCCGAGCTGGCAGTCAGCACAGAGCCCGTCGCGGGGCTCGAACCCACGAACCGCGAGATCATGACCTAAGCGAAAGTCGGACACTTAACCGACTAAGCCACCCAGGCGCCCCATAAATAAACCTTTAAAAAAAAAGTTTATTAATCCCTACAAAGATCTCCATCAGGAGAGGTCCTTGAGTAGTGATCCTTTTTGCAACAAGTTGGAAAACACCCACATGCCCCTCACTAAATTATCCCGGGGTGGGGGGGGTGGGGAAGCAAGGAGGGTGAGGGTGAGGGTAGGTTTGAGAGTGCCAGCGAGGAGGACCAGAGCCCTGCAGGCCCTGTGCTGTCGCCGGCCGGCCCCCACCCGCCCCCACCGGCTCTGGGGAAGCCCTGCCCTAGCCAGCCCCTCCTGGCCCCCAGCCGGCCCGTTTCTGTGCCAGGTCTTTGCCCCGGGGTCTAGCAGACTCCCCTTGACCCGCCTCAGGCTCCCCCGCACCTGCATCCTTGGGCCCACCTGTCTTCCCCGCCCAGCTCAGCCCAGCTGTAGCGGGAATCAGAAGTCACCTCCCCACCCTTGATGTCCCACCAAGTTCATCCCCCGCTCTGGAGGGTAAGCCCTTGGCCTGCCTTCCATAGGAATCCCCCAACCCTGTCAGCCTCCTCCCAGTAATTTCCCGCCCGCTGACGACCCCCCTCTGATGTGGCCCGGTGTCCCTGCGGGATGTCCCTGCCAGCTCTGCTGCGGTGGGAGCTGAGCCAGCCCCCTCTCATTGCAATAGTCCCGAGCCCTGTTGTGACAGCCCTGAACTCTCTTCCTTCCCCTTCTTTCTTTTTTTAAAACATTTTTTAACTTTTTTTTCTTAAATATTTATTTCTGAGAAAGAGCATGAGCAGGGGAGGATCAAGGAGAGGGAGACACAGAATCTGAAGCAGCTCCAGGCTCTGAGCTGTCAGCACAGAGCCCGAAGCAGGGCTCGAACCCAGGAACCGTGAGATCATGACCTGAGTGGAAGTCGAACGCTTAACCGACTGAGCCACCCAGGTGCCCCCTCTTCCTTCCCTTTCAACAAGTGTCACCACGAGGCCTCTTAACACCCTTTTGTCGTTGTTGGTGAGGCCCCAGGAGACCGGGACCTGGAGTCTCTCCGTAAGAAGGACTTCGGGACAGGGAGTGTGCCGGCCTTTCCCAGCCCCCAAATGATCAGCTACGGGGCCTGGCTAAGCCTCTCCTGCAGGGGACCTGGGAAACAACGCGGGGCTGACCTAGGACCCGCTGCCGCTCCTGGGGAGAGTGCCAGGCTGGGGCTGAGGCCGCTGCGCGTGGAGCTGGCTGGGCCTTCTGGCCACCCTGGGGTTCCTGGTATCCGGATGCCGGGCAGCCGGGCCTGGCAGGCCTCCCCAGCAGCAGGGCCCCAGCGCGCCACCCTGGGGACGGAGGGAAGGGCAGCTGTGTGCTCATGGCGTTCTGGCGTGGTCCATGCCTCTGTGTCGCACGCTGCCGCCGGCCCTGAGGTTCTGATAGACCGCGAGTCCTCCGCACCGGCCATCAGGAGACAGACGGACTTAGCATTTCAGGTCCCAGAAGCCCACGGCACCCCTGGGGCGCCCCAGCCAGGTGGCAGGAGAGAGGAGCCGGACGGGGTGGTGTGGCCGGTGGCGTCTCTGCTGGTCTCACTCGTCCAGCTGTGGGTTCGGGGAGCAGGACTGAGGCGTAGGTGGTCCCATCCGGAGTTCTGCTAAGCGCTGCAGGTGCAAAACGCGTGCAGCTCCGCCTTAAGTCCACGTGCACAGGGGCCGGAAGACCGGACAGGACCGGTCCGCACATTCCTTACTCAACAAACGCCCACCAGTCACCTGCTTACTGTCCCCTGACCGTAGTGTCAGCAAACCAGTGATGAATGACCCCAAGACACGGGAAGCCCGGGAAAATGTGGGTGCACCACAACTGCGGGCCGGGCGAGCTTTCAGGAAGTGTCCACAGTGCATTTCACGGACTGAGCAACGCGGCGGGGGGGGGGGGGGGGGGGGGGGGGGGGGGGGGGGGGCCAGGGCCTGCGGACCGCCCGGCACTGCTTGGCCCACCCTCTGTGTCAATATGAGGCTGGGCCTTATAAAGCGCCCAGAAGCCGCCGGCGGGACATTTCCTGGGCCAAGCCAGCTCCCGCAGGCAGGAAGGTGGGCGGCATCCAGCACCATGACGGAACTGGAGACGGCCATGGGCATGATCATTGACGTGTTCGCCCGCTACGCGGGGGCCGAGGGCAACAAGCAGAGCCTGACCAAGGGGGAGCTGAAGGTGCTCATGGAGAAGGAACTCCCGGGCTTCCTGCAGGTGGGCGCCCAGGGGCGCAGGGCCCGGTGGGGGGGGGGGCGGGGGGAAGGCAGGGAAAGTAGGGTGGCGAAGGCGGAGGGGGTACCCGGCTGGGCTGGCAGGGGGGAGGCTACCCTTCCAGGAGTGGACCAGCTGCCCTAGGGGATGAGGGAGCAGGGCCGGCCACACTGAGCCTTAAAATCCGGAGTTAGAGTCCCAGTTCGCTTGCCACCAGGATTCTTTCTCCGCAGGAGGCCCAGTGGGAGAGGGAGGGATGCAAACCTGAACCTGAGTGGTGGTGGGGGGGTGCCCGGGGCCATGTGTGAGGCTGGGTTTCCTGGTCCCTCACAGCTGCACCCCTCCTAGGCTGCGGGCTACAAACACCCCTTTCCCACTACCTGCGGGGGGCGTGGGGGGGGGAATCCCTGTCGCCTGGGGGGACAGAGCACAGATGGGAGCCCACCCTGCCTGTGGGCCATGTCTGCCCAGAGCCGCTGGGCCTGAATCCACCCCAGGGGACCTGTATTCCCAGGCCTGCCCTCCTCTGCTTCCCCTCCCCCCCACTACACTCCAGCTTTCCGCCGGCTGCCTCCTCCTCCCTCCCCACCTCTCCTCACACTCCCTTCTCCCTCCTTCCCTCCCCCCCTTCTCAACCTCTCCCTCTCCCTTCCCCCACCATCCTCCCTTCCTTCCCTCCTCTGCTCTCCCCGCCTTCCCTCCCATCCCCTTCCTTATACTCTTCCTCCCCCAACCTCCCTCCCCCTCCGAGGCCTCTCCTCATTCCCCCTCCCCTCCTCTGCCTCCCTTCCTCTCCCTCCCTCTTCCTCCTCTGCCTCCCTCCCTCCCCTCCTCTTCCCTTCCCTTCCCACAGGGACCCTCCTCCTTTCTGCTGCCTCCAGCTCTCCTCCTCCTCCCCTCCGCCCTCCCCCTACCTGCCCCCTAAGGGCTCTACACTGAGCTGATTCCTGGAAACGGAAGCCTGAAATGTTCAGTCTCCCAACACACTGAGGGCTTCAGTACGTGAATGCAGTGAGGATATCTACTTTTAAATGAATTTCATTTTTTGTCTATTATAAATACGTGTTTGTGGTCGAAAATGTGAGAATACAGAAATGTGGGGGCAGAGAACCCCCCAACACACCCGTCTCCCTCTTCCATCAGTCTTCTCCCCATGGAAAGTTGATGTGAATGAAATTCTAACATCCGCAATTTCTTTTTTAACTTAGAAGTACCGCAAACAAGCCTCAAGCCCCGAGGCTCCCGGAAAGCCCGCCCACGGGGCACTGGGCCTGGGGGCACATGTTCTGATAACCGGCCAAGTGGAAGAGCTTAGCCCGGCGGGTTTGAGACAAAAGGCTGGGGGATGCAGGAGGGGCAGACGCAGGTGGTCGTCCGGGGAACACAATTTGAGAACCCGTGGCCGAGCCCGCGATTTCCGTCTTGGCAAAAAGCAGGGGCTCGGGGCCCTCCATCCTCCAGGCCTCCAGCTGATGCGGAAGCCGGAGCTGCGACACTGGGCAACGGTGGCTGCAAACTTGAGGGGCCCAGCGTGGGCGGCCGCGGGGTCGCCCCTGCGCGGTTCCCGCTGGGTCCGGCGGCTGCAGGGCTGGGTCGGCGCGCCCCCTGGCGCTGGGTCTCAGCCCTGCACGGGGTGCGGCCGGGCCTCCGCAGTCAGGTGGGCGGGCTCTTGCAGACCCCCTGGGGCCGTGGGGGGGAGTGGGGGAGTCGCAGCCTGGGGTTGCCCCTGGAGCCCTTGCTGGTGCCGCCGCCCGCCGGGCCGTGAGGATCCGAGGCTCGGTGCGTGGACCAGACGCGGCTCAGTGAAGGTGACCCCGCAACGCAGGCGGCGTGCAAGGGTAGCGCACGGTGGCCGCGTCCCTGGGAACAGTCGCCACTCTAGCATCTTAAACAATCCAGTCTGCTGCAGAACGCGCGCCCCGGCGCTGCCTAATGCAGTTCAAATTCGGCCTAAAACAAAGGACGCGGGTTTGTTAGTTCGAGGCCGGGCAGTTCTTGGTGACTCAGCTGTCCCCGCCCTCCCCCACCCCCACGCCCAGCCGCAGTGCTTGGCAAAGGGACCCTCCGCGCTGACCCTGGGCCTCTGTCTCTAGAATAAAAGGGACAGGGACGCCGTGAACAAACTGCTCAAAGACCTGGACGCCAACGGGGACTCCGAGGTGGACTTCAACGAGTTCATCGTGTTTGTGGCCGCCCTCACAGCCGCCTGCCACAAGTACTTTGAGCAGGCGGGGATCCACTGACGCCCTGCAGACCCTGATCCCTGGAGGGGGCTGGGGGGGGGGGGCTGGGGTACCGCCCCCAGCTTCCAGATCCCTGGGGGTGATTGCTTCCCTGGATCACCCTCTGATCAGTAAAATGCTTGTGACACGCACCTAGTCTCCCAGAAATGGATGAGTTCCTTACGCCCTCAGTGCCCCAGCCCCCAACACAAGTTTTCTACTGTGTCACTTAGTGCTCCTGGCCTGTGGGGACAGGCAGTGACACAGGTCAGTTCGTAAGGGTTTATTCAGGGGCCATTTTCGCCTGGCTGAGACACCGTCCCTGCTTTTGTGGATCCCTCAGCACAAAGTGAGCGTCACCCTGTCCTGGACCCAAGGAAGCTCATGAGACCCACATGCATCTGTCCAGTCGGTTGGTCAGTCAGTCAGCCAGCCACTCATCAAACCCCGGGCCCCTCCATCTCTCCTTACATGTTTTCAAGTCACATCTTTTTTTTTTTTTTTTAAAGCTTATTTATTTTTGAGAGAGAGAAAGACAGGGTGAGCAGGGGAGGGTCAGAGAGAGGGAGACACAGAATCTGAAGCAGCTCCAGGTTCTGAGCTGTCAGCACAGAGTCTGATGCGGGCCTCGAACCCATGAACCACGAGATCATGACCTGAGCCGAAGTCGGATGCCAACCGACAGCCCCCCAGGAGCCCTTACATCTTTTTAATGTACAATTACCAGCATGTTCGTGCCACACACAGTAAAACACACTTAGGAAAGGGATGAGGCGGGGATTAGAATCACCAGCGAACCACTGCCCACACGCGTTTCCGGTTTTATGAAACTATCTTTAGAAAGAAACCAACCAGCGTGACTCAGGCGGGGGCAGGGGTGTTAGGTCAGTAGTTTGCCCGGATTGAGACTCGGGCCACCTTTTGAAAGCCCAGCAATTGGAATCTCCCCTTTTGCTTGAAGGCGTGTCCACCAGAGCAGAAATGGTGTCCGGAGCCTGGCCGAGGACACATCAGCAGGAGGTGTGGTTTGTCCCTTGCTGGAGGGGGGGGGGCGGGGAGGGAGGAGGAAGGGCACAGGTTCCCTTCAGCTTAGATGGGGGCCGATACACCTTTTAAAGCACGAAAGTCAAGCTAACGGGACGTGGGGGGGCTGACCGTGCAGAAGGAATGGAACCGGGTTTTTTTTTTCCTGCCATTTCACAACTTAGTCACAAATTGGATTTGTCCTGGGAATGACAAGTCGCCCGGGGGAGGCAGAGACCAGAGCCCTCCATCCCTGCCCTTGCCTATAGATGGGGTACAGGCCCCTGACCCCGGTCCCCCAGACTCAGCCCCCACCCCAGACACTTGCTCTGGAATTCTCTTCACCCAATCTTGCCGCTTCCCTGCCTCCCCCCACACCTGGGAGATTCTGTCTGGTCTGCTGAACACACCCTGCTCCCCCAAATTAGCCTCCCCTGGTTCTCTGTGTGCCCCTGGGCGGGCTGCGGAGCGCCCCGTTCCTCCTGGGTGAAGTCCACGGTCACCTCTGTGGGCTTCACACTTCCTGGGGGGCTCCTGGCATCCAGGTCCTCCAAGGCAAAAGCCATGTCCTACCTGCATTCTTAATGGCTGCAAGGACTTTGCTGGAATGAGTGGACCCACATTTGCCCATTATTAATGATATGGTTCTTCCTATTTTATTTATTTTCAGAGAGAGAGTGAGCGAGTGAGCAGGGGAGGGGCAGAGAGGCAGAGAGAGGAATCCCAAGCTCCATGCTGCCAGTGCAGAGCCCCACATGGGGCTTGAACTCAGGAATCGTGAGATCATGACTTGAGCAGAAACCAAGAGTCAGACATTCAACTAACTGAGCCACCCAGGCTCATATTTTTGTTTTTGAAAAAAAAAAAGTTACAATTAATTTGTTCACACATAAAATTTCATCTTCAGCTCAGATCATTTCCCCAAGACGGATACCATCTTTAACCTGGGATTGATTACCAGCTTCAAAGTTTTGGGGGCTTTTTATTGTGGTGAAAACACATCACATTTCTTGAGTGTACAGTGTTAAGTATATTCACAGTGCTGTGCCACCACGCTCCAAACTTTCTCTTCTTGCAAAAGTGAAACTCTGTACCCATCAGACGGCAAGTTCCCCGGCCCCTGGCACCCGTTATTCTAGAATTTGTCTCCTTGGAGACGGCACCCTTCCTCAAGACCCAGTAGTGGCATGTGCAAGGAAAACTGTCATGAGAACTTTATCAAAACTGCAAAGACCGTAACATGAATGGCATCCCCTAGAGCTGTGCAGTGCACAACATGCACAGCTGTATATGTATGATGCCCTTAGCCGGCAGAGATTTTCCTCCCTGAGCAAAGCACACAGCTGTGAAAGCGCACCCTCACTTTCTTCCAGGACTTAGACACGTCACACTGTGAGGGTGTGACGTGTACAGCTGCACCAGCAACTGGGCAATCAGAAGGACAGAGTTAAGAGGATCACGGAAGAGCTTTGGTTTCACCGAGTGGCCGGCAGGGTCGCTCCACCGCACAAATGGTGCTGGGAGGTCCTGGCTGCTAAAAGGAGTCAGACCCACGTACCTCTGGAATGATGGGATACAAAGCCATATTGCTTAGGGCCCATTTACTCAGTATCCGCCTCATAATCACTGCATAGTGGAAACTTGTGACTCATTCTGGCCATTCAACTTCTGTATCTCTTTCTGTGTTTGGGGACTTCATCACACATGCACCTTCCTGGGTGTCCAGTCTATCCACCCCTGTTTCTAGTAGAAAATACTAGACTCTCTTATAAGAGAACGGTCATGTGACCTAGCATCCACCAATCGGATTCATCCACACCCAGTGCAACTAAGCTAGTGTAGCCGGGGAGCTGGGGCACATGAGGGCACGGGAAACTGGTGTCCTTCGCTCCGAGCCAGCTGGTTCTGCGGTGTGGACTGCCTCTGGAATCGTCACCCTGAGGCTCTTCTCGAGCCCTCCCTGAGCTTCTGGAAACCGCCTAACTGGCCAGGGTCAGCTTCTGAGCTGGCAGCTAGGAACCCTGACAGATTCTGGCCACAAACCTCTCGCATATGTTATCTGATTTATTTTTTAAAGTTTATTTTTGAGAGAGAGAGAGAGAGAGAGAGAGAGAGAGACAGAGCGTAAATGGGGGAGGGGCAGAGAGAGATGGAGACAGAGAGTCTGAAGCAGGCTGTAGGCTCTGAGCTGTCAGCACAGATCCCGACGCGGGGCTTGAACCCACAGACCGTGAGATCATGACCTGAGCCCAAGCCTGACGCTTAACTGACTGAGCCCCCCCGGGCACCCCGCCAATTGTTCCTAATAAGATCTTTTACAGAGCAAAGGTGTCCTGTTTACAGTAAGAATGCGTCTCTGCAGCACTGACTTGTGTGTGTTGGCCCTTCTTCAGTCAGGGCACCGGACACAAAGTTTTCGGAAGAAACAAAACGCTGAGAAGTATCTCAACAAAACATTACTGGAGACTCAGTCGTCACCAGTGGCCGATGCAAATGGCGGCTGGAGAGGAGGACACAACACAGGATTTCAGACCTCATGGCAAGGGGAGTTTGGGCACAATGGGCTGATTTCAGAGCAACTGACAGAAGGCAATTCAAATTTTCTAGGCGACCTGAAGTTGTTTCAATTCCAGAGATAATCCAATCCGGGGGAAATTTCTGAGTGACAGTAGGAAATACAAAGCCCGGGGTGCCTCCAGAGGCCGCCACAGCTCAGGCAGGAGTTGGGCCACTAGTTCGTCACCACAGTGCTCCACGGAAAGGCCAGGGGTCAAGAATGATTCAGAAGACTCTTGAAGGGCCCTGACCGTGGAGGAGGCCTGGTATCGAGACTGAGTAACTAAGGGGCGCCTGGGTTGGTTGAGCGTCTGACTCCAGCTCAGGTCACGATCTCACAGTTCACAAGTTCGAGCCCCGCGTCGGGCTCTGTGCTGACAGCTCGGAGCCTAGAGTCTGATTCAGATTCTGTGTCTTCCTCTTTCTCTGCCCCTCCTCCACTTGGGCTGTGTCTCTCAAAACTGAATAAACATTAAAAAGTAAAAAAAAAAAAGACTGAATAGATAAAAATGCAACCCAACAGAGGAATATACTCCATGGTCAGTTAATCAAGGGGAAAAACAGGCATGCAAGGTTTCACTCCCAGAACATCTATTTTTAAATCAGTAAGTAACTTGTAACTTGTAAGTAGCTTGTAAGTTTCCTGAACCAAAGTCCCTAAAATCCCAGCAGGGGGTGCTCCTTCAGCCTGCTCCTGGAATGGAGAGAACATGGAGAAACATGGAGTGTACATGGATGGGAATGAGAGATAAACCTTGGGGGCTGTAGCCACGAAGACTCTGGGGTGAACTGGTTAGAGCAGTTTAACCTAGGCGGGCTGACCGATGCAGAGACACACCACGCCTTGACCCCAGGGAAGGCTGGCCGGTCCCTTCCCACGCCCCTGCTCCAGCGCAGACCCTCAGCTCCCACCTGCACCAGCGCCCATATTCTTGCTCACACCCTCCCCTCCCCCCCAGCGCTGACCCAAAGACCCCACGGAGGCGGAGTAAGCTTCCCACACTATGAACGTGCCCTCTGACGTTCTCTTGCTCCTCTGTCTCAATGGCTCCCAGCACTACCTCTTTCCCACTGAAGAATTCAAGGGCAGGGGGCGCCTGGGTGGCTTAGTCGGTTAAGCGTCTGACTTTCACTTAGGTCATGATCTCGCGGTTCGTGGGTTCGAGCGCCGCGTCGGGCTCTGACTGCCAGGTCAGAGCCTGGAGCCTTTTTCAGAGTCTGTGATTCCCTCTCTCTCTGACCCTCCCCTGCTCACGCTGTCTCTCTCTCTCCTAGAAATAAATAAAANGTTTCAGAGTCTGTGATTCCCTCTCTCTCTGACCCTCCCCTGCTCACGCTGTCTCTCTCTCTCCTAGAAATAAATAAAACATTAAAAAATAAAAAAATAAAAAAAAAAAAAGAATTCAAGGGCAGGAGCCCAGACAAGGATTCCAGAGACCGGAACAGCCTCTGTAAAAGACTTTGCTTTGTGCCCACGTACTTTATTATAAAAATGCCTGTTTTCTGCACTGATCCGAGACATGCATCTCAGCTTGTCATTATAAACATGTATATGTTCTCATCGAATCACATTCAGCGATTCTGGAAAATTGCAGCCTGTCCTGTGGCTTTGGGCAGCCATGAGCACAGGCTCCTGAAGATGAACTAACTCCCTAACGAAGCCCTCTCTCCTCTGCTCACCCCCTTCACAGGTCTCCACAATGGCCCCCCATTCTCTCCCCAGTGCTGCAGCTCACGTCCCTTCCTGAGCTTCGGATGCCCCCACTGGTTTATACTCTCACAAATTAGACTCGGCGTTCAAGGACAAGTCATTTGCTCTGAAGAGCTCTCCCCGTCTCCTCCATGCAGTCCCTCCTTGTGCTCCCACAATACTCCGGCACCCCGCGGTGCAGGAACCTGTCCCAGCTGGTCCCAATCGGGACTCCCCTTTGCATTCCTCGTGCCCTGGAGCGGACAGGCAGCACATCACACGCCCATGGACCGAGTGGCTACACAGAGCTCAGCGGTTGAAAAGCAGGGGCTCAGGCCAGATGATGGCCTCAAGTGCGTCTCGTCAAGAGCTGACTGTTCTGTCATCCTGTCCCCCCTGCACCCGCCACAAGCGATTCTCCCAAAGCAGGGGGCTTTGGTCATCTGAACATATTTATTAGAAAAAAAAAAAAGGTTTTTTAGAGAGCTTTGTTTTTCAGGGCAAACACCTATCGCGTGTCTGATTTTGACCTCCCGTCCCGGGGAAGTCTACCCTGATCAACTAAAAGGCACTTTATGGGCCTTGATGATGTCTTTTGCTTTGTCCACTGTCCCCGGACCCTTCGTAGATGGTCTCTTTGATGCGACACTGTGAAACGCCCGTAACGCGCGAGGGCATTACGACAGTGAAGGTACTGTGTCGTGCCCTGTTCTAACTTCTTTGTCACGTAGGGTCTGCTAGGTTATCTAAGTTGAGTCACCTGGCGGGTGGTACAACATACACCAGACAACGTGACACAGAACACAGCTCTCCTCGGCCCCACGGGACGTAAGGTTCCAGAATTCATACACAAACATCTTCCACTCCTTCCCCGTCTTCCCCAAAGCAGCCTCACCCCGTACATGGATCACCGGGTACACCCCAGGAGGGTCTCCCTGCACCTCTAAAGGGAGAAGATTCTGGCCCCGCGTCTACACAAGTCCCAGAAAACAATCAGGTCACATGGGTAACAGCAAAGCAGGAGACCATGACCCAACATTTCAAACATGGCAAAGTAACAAGAATTAACATGACAAGTAAAACAACTTTTCATTGAGCCCCATTTCCCTTACAAGAGTGTATCTCGTACAGAAGTTACTTTTCTCAGGGCCCCTGGGGGGCTTGGTTGGTTAAATGTCTGACTTCGGCTCAGGTCATGATCTCACAGTCATGGGTTCCAGCCCCGCGTCGGGCTCTGTGCTGACAGCCTGGAGCCTGCTTTGGATTCTGTGTCTCCCTCCCTCTCTCTGCCCCTCCCTCCCCTGCGCTCTCTCTCTTAAAAATAAACATTAAAAAAACTTTTTAAGTTAATTTTTCAGGACAATCTACACCCATATCTGGGTCACCGACTCAAGCCGGACTCCATCGTGTTAGTTCAGATGAAAGAACGAATTCTAGAGATCTTCCTGCCCCCAGGCACAGCTGCACCGGCCGGGAAACACGCCGACCCAGGCCGAAGAGAGAGGAGCGAGTGTGTGATGGTTCAAAGGAACTCAAAGGAATGAGACCCCCCCCCAGCTTGTGCACGTACAAGTAGATAGTTCAGGCACGAGTGGCAGCTGATCAACACTATACTAACTACGGAATCACCAGATGCGCCTAGTAAGATCGCTAAGATATGAAATAAAGGTTATTTCTTAATTCCAACTCTCTCAAGATAGAATAGAATTCTTTGAGGCCACAAGGGGCAGCAGAAATAACTAAGAAACCTCTGGTAATGACTCCAACACTAACCACAGCTCTCAGGAGACTCTTGCCCGAAATTTTGCCCTTAAAACCCCTCACCTGGGGGCGCCTGGCTGGCCCAGGCAGTAGAGGACACACTCTTGATCTCAGGGTGGTAAGTTCAAGCCCCACCTTGGGCATGGAGCCTACTTAACAAAACCCCCACCTGTAAGCCACTGGGCGGTTTGGGACTTGGACCATGAGGTCCCCGTTCTCCCAGGTGGTGTCATACCAATAAACTGCCCATCTGTCTTCACTGCAGAAGCTCCACTCAGTTTTTCACTGGCTTGCTGTGCGCGCCGGAGACAAATTCTCCGCTGGTTCTGATAACACAACCACCGACCGGAGGGGAGACTGTTACACGCGGGTAAAAGCTGTTTCAGTTTCCTCGAGGTGTCAGCCCAGCCTTACCAGGAGACCAGAGTCGTTGCCATCAAGGAGCCGAGTCTCAGATTTCTGTAACCTGATGTTTAAAAAAAATTTTAAAAAGTCACCATCCACCCTCTGACACGACCCTGGAAACTCCTAGCAAAGGCCTAGAGCTTCAGTTTCCGGTTTCTTTTCCTGGGTTTTCACCTTCCCCTATTTTGCTCTACGGGCTGGGTTTTCTTTGGTCCCCCGCCACCACCACCCCCCTTGAGCTCTACCTGCGGCAATTGTCCTTTTGGGGCTGACTTCTGGGTTTCATAAAGACGACCCCGAAGTGATTTTAATTTTTCTTTGATTGCCAGCGGGGGCGGAAGGAACCCCAAGAATCAGTATGTCCGTACTAACACCTGTCCGAGGTAGCGCGCACCCACTTTCCTCTTGACCCCAACTTTGCCCCCACTCCCCAGTTTCCGACGCAGTGCGATTGAGGCTGCACCTTCACTCCTAGAATAAATACTACTACCACTCGGGAAACTGTTCAGTCACGCCGACCGCAACGACCCGGACCGCCTCGGGCCCCGCCCACCCCTCCCCCCCCGCCTCACCGCCCGCCCTCCTTCACGACGACTCGCTTCTCTCTATCCGCCGGACCAGCTCCACCAGCATCTCTGCCATCTTCGCGATCTCCTTGGCCTTCTCCTCCGCCTTCTCGCCCCGTCTGGTCCCTCTGCCCTCGGCCCCGTCGTCGGGATTCTGCAGATGGTTCAGGGCGCTCTCCTCCGAGGCCTCCACCTGCGTCTTGATCTGGACGAGCATATTGTCCATCTCCCACAGCTTGCTCCGGTTCCGCAGGTGCGCCCGGCCGCGCTCCCGGGTCAGCGCCGCGATGTCCTCGCGCATCTCGTGGATGACGGGCAGCAGAAACTGCTCGAAGTCCTCCTCGGGCTCCAGCACCTCCACCTCCTCCGGCTCCGCCAGCCCGACGACGTCCAAGGGCCGCATCCGTCCCGCCAAACCGTCCCTGCGGGCGTCGGCGCGTCAGCGGCGCTCCCGGACTGTCGCTCCAAGTTCCCCCTTCCACGCGCTCCGCTTCAGAACCGCTCCGGGAAGCAGGGAGTCTGCGCAGCCTCCTCCGGCGGTGGGCGTGTCCCCGGCACCTGCAAGACTTGGCCACGCCCCCTCACGGCCACGCCTCGGGCCCGGCCCGGGCGCGCGCACTTAAAGGGGACTCTGCGGCGGGCGCGCAGGCGCACCGCGGCCACCACCTGCTTGCGCGCCCTGCCCCGCCCTCTTCTCTAATAGACTTTTGGGCAGCGCGGAAGTTCTTCGCTTCCCTTCTCGGCGACGGCATCTCGGGCTTTTACTTTTTCTTTTACTTCATTTTTTTAAGTGAAAGCAATTCTTCCTCCTTCGTATTTGAAAATGACAGGCTGGTGTTCACAGCACTTACTATCCAGGCACGCACTTCTTTAAGCGCTTAGATTAATTCATTAGATTAATTCATTAATCCACCTCCACAACAAACATTTAACCTCACAACAAACCTGTAAGATGAGAAACTGGCTAAAAACCGTACTTTGGGTCAGAATTGGACGTGAGCCATTTTGGGTCCTACTACAGTCGCTGCTCTTAACCACAGCACCTGCTCCTTCTGGGTCCTTAAGTCCAAAACCGGGGATCCTAACTCCGTGCTCCCCACCACTTCCTCCCAGACTTTTGTCCTGGGGGGATTTCTCTCTCGCTGCGTTGGGTTGTTCTGGTCAGTAGCGTTTGGGTCTCTCTTTGAGGTAGGGGAGCTGAAGGGACTCCACTTTAGAAAGGCTCTGTCTCTGCTAAGCTCCATTTACTCGGGTCCTATATTTTGCATCTGAATAAGGCAAAGAAGCTGTGTTCCTACTTCCGGGGGGAAACAAGATAGTTGATCATTTTCTGGATATTTGCCTTAGACTCCCAAACACCTGATAACACCTAACACGACGGTAGTTTTGAACAAACCTCAGCTGATGTTGGCATCAATACCCCCTACCTTCGATGATCTGTAGAATAACACCTTTATTCACCTGCCAGTCACCTTCGATCGGACCCTATCCTGGATTCCTGATGGAGCACATACACCAGACCCCTTTCCAATATAAACCTCTAACCTCAAGTGAGGAAGGGATTCATTCTCCTTTCCTTTCTTAGTCTCACAGACGCTCTACTGCTAAATTCTCACTCATGGTATTCAGTAAACTCTGTTTTTACTTTTTCTGGCCTGCAGAGCCCACCTCTGGGTCCGTGGACCCAGCCTGCCTGCATCATCTTCACGAGACTGTAAGCAACCCAAGAGAAAGGGCCACTTCTGATTCGCCTCTGTCCTTAGCCCCTCCTCGCCACCTGGACTCAAGGGCCTTAGGGAAAGTTTTAGAGAGATGGCCCCCTTCCCTAAAATATAAGCACCTCCATCATACTGGAGGTTCCAGGTGCTGGTCTCCTACAAGACCTGCAAAACAGCAGGGCCCCGGTAAATGCTGCTTTAATATTCATTTAACAAAGTTTTTGAGCACTGACAGTGTGGGCCGCGGTGGAACAGATGGAGTCCATTTCCAGGCTCGTGCAATCAGTGCCAAGCTAGCAGTAATTTGGAGGGGCCCTGCTTGCACAGATCAGAGCTTTAGTTTTCCAGTATCATAAAGACCAGTGACCCAGCCTGAATATCTTTCAGTGGGAAGATGCATAAGTGAGATGATGTGCATGAAAGTGTTTTGCAAATACCAAAGTGCCAGCAGATATGAGTGGTGACAATATTATAATGATTATGAAAGTGAATGGAGGTTGTGTGAGGCCGAAGGTTTCAGAGTGAGACACATCCTTCATTAGGTCCTAGTCCCTCCAATTACTTGCTCTGTGGCCTTGGACACGTTGGGTTACCCTGAACACAACTCCCTCGGTGTCAATTTCCACCTGTCGCTCTAGGGTGGGCATTGGACATATGATCTCCAATGATCGTAATATGATCCTTATAGTCCATAATAATTACACGGTTTGCTCAAGAATTTATGTCTTATGTTCTGAGTGGCCCCTGTCACTCTCAAAACTTTCCTTGTTTGATGAACTAGAATTTATTAAAATTGTCAAGTGTTCATCAAAAGCACCATAGAGTACAGATGCAAGCCACAGAGTGGGAGAAGATATTTTCGGTAGCTATATGACAAAGGGCTCATATTCAAACTGTATTGAGAACTTCCGTAGACCAGTAAGGGAAAGACAACTCAATTTAAAAATGGGCAAAAGACTTGAGCAAATACTTCACAAAAGGGAATATCCACAGGGCCAGTAAATATATAAAAAGGTGCTAAAGTTCATGATTCATCAGGGAAATGCAAATCAAAACCACAAAGAGCTAGGGGCGCCTGGGTGTCTCAATCGGTTAAGTGTAGGACTTTGGCTCAGGTCATCATCTCACGGTTTGTAGGTTCGAGCCCCGCATCGGGCTCTGTGCTGACAGCTCAGAGCCCGGAGCCTGTTTCAGATTCTGTGTCTCCCTCTCTCTCTGACCCTCCTCTGCTCATGCTGTCTCTCTCATAAATAAATAAAACATTAAAATTAAAAAAAAAAACACAAAGAGCTAGCACTCACTATACATCCACTGGCGTGGCTGAAAAGTAAAACACGGACGATACCAAGTGTTGGGGGGTATGTGGAAAGAAGCCGAGAGCTTCCAGAGTCATCAAGAATACCAAGGTTTCAGGGACCTTCCTCTAGTTTATTCCTCTTGTTTCATTTCACTGTAAGCAGCAAGAAGAAACTAGGGACGGTGGGAAGCTCTTCATGGGTCCTTGACATGTTCTAGATCTTGATCTGGATGGAGGTTACACGCGTGTGAAACAGATGCACTGAGGTTGCACGCCTCCGGGAATAGTTCCGTGATACTTTCGCGTTTTAAAAAGCGTTGGTGTATGAGCGCGTGCGCGAGCACGAGCGTTCAGGGGCTGGAAACAGAGATTGGGGCGCGTGCGTGCCCGCCCGTGCACGCGCGGAAGCCGGAAGCAAGGGCGTGCGTGCGCGCTCCCGCGGAGGAGGCGGGGCAGGGCGGGGAGGCCGGAAGTCGGGCGGGAGCGCGTCCCCAGCGGGCGATGGAGGGGCCTCCGGCGGACCGTGGGCTGTCGCGCGAGGGGTCGGCGGAGGAGGCCGAGCTCCAGGGAGCTGCCTGGAGCGGGGACAGCGGCAACGTGTCGCAGAGCCACAGCAGCGCCTCGGGGCCGTGGGAGGATGAGGGCCCAGAGCCGGGCGCGCCGGGCCGCGACCTGCCGCTGCTGCGCCGCGCCGCCGCGGGCTACGCCGCCTGCCTGCTGCCCGGAGCCGGGGCGCGGCCCGAGGTCGAGGCCCTGGACGCCAGCCTGGAGGACCTGCTCACCAGGGTGGACGAGTTCGTGGGCATGCTGGACATGCTGCGCGGGGACTCCTCCCACGTCGTCAGCGAGGGCGTGCCTCGCATTTACGCGAAGGCCACCGAGATGCGGCGGGTCTACAGCAAGATCGACCGACTCGAGGCCTTCGTGGCGATGATCGGCGCCAGCGTGGCCAGGATGGAGGAGCAGGTGGCCAGGGCGGAGGCCGAGCTGGGCGCCTTCCCCAGCGCGTTCCGGAAACTGCTGCACACGATCGCCGCGCCCTCCTTCTTCAACAAGGCGCCCTCCGGCCGGGCCCCGCAGAGCGGCTACGAACCCCCGGTCCTGTTTCGGACCGAGGACCACTTTCCCTGTTGCAGCGACGGACCTCAGATCTGAGGCCGCCGGACGGCCCTGCAAGGGCACGCTCGCCGCCTGAGACGGTCTCGAGTGTTCCATCGGTGGGGAGTTCCGCGGACTGACACCCACGACGTTGGAGCCTGGCACATTTGTCTTTTGCACACTCCTATTTCCCGCTATCTTCATGATGCGTAAGGATGTATGGTTTTGTGTGTCTTGCAGGGCTAAACTGAGGACGGCTTGGTCCGGGGGTGGGGGCGTCGGAGAAGAAAATCGAGCTTTTTTCTGTGCCCTGTGGCAGAACTGTTGTTTTTCTGGGTTTTACAGCTCAACTGACAGTAAAAACTTTTCCAAGTTGATAGGTTTTATACTCTTAAGAAAAACTGCTGAGCTGTTCAGGTCTTGTTAATGTTCGATCTAGTAGTGATTCCATGTTCTGTAGCTTACTTTTAGCGTAGATGGTAAGTTATTTCACTTTATATTAAACCTTACATATCATGGGTTGTAAGCGAAGGAAATGATAGAGTCCCTGAGATGTATTGATTTATCTCATCGAATTCTGAAGTCGTGTTTGAAAGTATGCCCCCACAATCTTCGTTTGTCCTCGGCAAACAAGTTTATATGTGGTTGCCAACATTTGGTTTATAATTTAAATATTAATAAAAAATTTGCATTTTATTGGAAAAGCCTTTCTTCTGAAAAGGACTTCACATATTTTTTGTTTGAAGATAGACCCGTGGCTCATGATTTTAGGGATAGGTGAAGTGGCTTCGGGGTACCTCCTTTAGAAGGCTAATGTGCGGAGCGCCTGGGGGCTCAGTCAGTTAAGCAATTGGCTCTTGGTTTCGGCTCAGGTCTTGATTTTACAGTTGGTGAGTTCAAGCCCCGAGTCAGGCTCTGTGCGGTCGATGCAGAGCCTGCCTGAGACTCTTCCCCTCTCTTTCTGCCTCTTACCCGCTCGAACACACGCTCTCTCTCTCAAAACAAATTAAGAAAAAAAAAAAAAGAGGGCTAATTTGAAAAACCTTAGCTAGTGTTTCACGCAATTGTATGTTTCTTTCCTCTCCAAGTAAATAGTCAAATCGCTTGTGTGAACGAGTAGTATTAGCATTTGGTCCTGCCCCTCTCCTCCAGCACGGAATCTGAAAGAGGTCTTGTAAGCACAGCAGGCTTTGATCTTTGATCTGTTTTATTAGTTGATCCTCCTAGAGAGGGGTGGACACCAGACAAGCACACAGCTTAGGCTGCTCGTGTCATTTGTCATAGAGCTCAGGGGCTGGTAGCGTAGGCATAGTCTCACTTAGCGGTCTGTCAGGAAAAGCTGCTAATCTAGTCTCCTCCTCAGCTTGCCAGGATCTTCTGTGTCGCACATAGACCGTATTTTCTGGAGGTAGTTCATTGATTACAAATCAAGGAACGCCTGAATTTAGAAGCAGAGAGCACCCTTGAGCTCCATTTAATATTGGGCAACTACTGGGTCCTGCTGTAATTAGTATATCCCTCTGACAGTAGTCACTGAATCCGAAAATAGCTTTCTTACGTAACATGCATGTTGCTAAAATGCTTTTTAAACTTGTGGTGAATATTAAAAAGTAGGTCGTGATTAGGGCAAATTATGAAAAAGCTTAGAATAATTTTTAAGCTGAGATTTCATATCTGCGTAATAAAACCCCCAAACTCCAGAAAGCATAAGTTAACAAGTGTGCTGTAAAGCAAAACTTTATTAGGAATATATAATGCTTAGATATTTGCTTTCATTACCTACAAAAAAGGAAGTTGGGTTGAGAAAATTAAAAGTAGAATAACCAGTAAAAGATTACTTACTTCAGCAAAGAGCCCGACACGGGGCTTGAACCTATGAACCGTGAGATCATGACCTGAACCACCCAGGCGCCCCTAAGATTTTATTTTTAAGCAATATCTACACCCAGCATGAAGCTTGAACCCACAGCCCTGAAATCAAGAGTTGCATGCTGTACCACTGAGCCAGCCAAGCACCTCGAACATAAATAAACTTAAAAAAAACAAGCTCTGGTTTAGATGATAAACTACATGATTACATGTACAGTTTATCTCTAAGGGACCTTGGCTTGTGAAATTCTCTTAGTCACTTGGTGCTGTCCTTGAGGTTTCTAAATAGAGATTAATGCAGAGCCTTGTTTGGAATGGGGACTTGAAGCCGGTTTGCATGGTGCAAGACAGAAATTAGGTGAAAGTCCTTGGTCTCAAGACTGGGGGGGGGGGTGCGCCTGGGTGGCTCAGTTAAGCGTCTGACTCGGCTCAGGTCATGATCTCACAGTTCGTGAGTTCGAACCCCGCATCAGGCTCTGCTGACAGCTCAGAGCCTGGAGCCTGCTTCGGATTCTGTGTCTCCTTCTCTCTTTTCCCTTCCCCCACTCATGCTCCGTCTCTCTGTCTCTCTCAAAAAATAAATAAATGTTAAAAAAAAAAAAAAAAGAATGGGGGTTGTGGGAGGTAGCCCCACCTCTGTCCAGACACTGCCACCTTCAGACCTTCCGGCCCCTCCTCTCCCACCCCTGACGAGCTGGAGATTTAAGGAGGGCCCTTTTGGATCCTGGAAAACTGGTCCTTCCCCCCCTCAGAAGTCCATAAAAGTTGGAGGAGGGGGCCAGCTGTCATCCTGGGTGATCTCTGCAGACCTGTCTCTGCTGCCGGCATCTGGAGCTCCCCTACTTTCTGGAATAAACAGGGATGGGTTTTAGAACTTTTGAGAGGGAGTCCCCACCAATCACACCGGAGCCCACGTGTTCTTCACTCTCACACCTGCTCATGAGCGCAACAGCTGATTCGTGTCCGGGAGTCCCAAGAACATCCGCTTTGTCCAAGGGCAGCCTCGGTGTCCAGGAGGCAGCTTCTGAACACACAGAAAATTGGGTACTCATGGCTTCTTGTCCTTTGGCCAGAACTTGAGGAATCTGAGCTTTGGACCAGGTGTGAGGCAGGGGATCGCGTGAGGAGGGGCTTTATTGTTTGTTTTTTCCCTGCCGATGAAAGTGAGTAAGAAAGATAAATGGGCTTGGGACAGCAGACAGGGAGGCCAGGCTACCAGCTGGCCTTGGATGTAAGTCACAGTCGCAAACAGCTGGTACCCAGCTCGCCCACTTCCTTTACCAGAAAGGAAGTTTCGGGGGCTCCCCCCAGCACTGTCTTGTAAGGAATTGGGCTTAAGACGACCGGCTATGAATAGTGAAGGCGAACCTCGAAGTCTTCAGCGCCCCATCTCAGCTCGGCTACCCAGCGCTCTCGTAAGTGCTTTCCTGCTTTTCCCGTCCCCTCTCCAAGCCACTCTCCAGCTAGTACGGGGCAGCCAATGGTGTCTCTAACGGGCCAGGGGCGCCTGGGTGGCTCAGTTGATTAAGCCTCTGACTTTGGCTCAAGTCGTGATCTTGCGGTTCATGAGTTCGAGCACCACATCCACCTCTGTGCTGCCAGTGCGGAGCCTGCTCAGGATTCTCTCCATTCCTCTCTCTCCGCCCTTCCCCCTTCACTGTTTCTCTCTGTCTCAAAATAAATAAACAAACATTTTAAAAAGTCATTTTCCAAAGTGACCTAGACCATTAGCCCCAGTCATAGAGAAGGGAATGCATTTCTTTTAGAATGAGAGATTCTTCTTTATGATCTTCATCACCAAAGGGAGGCCTGTCCTTCCTTGGTCGGCCTGGGGCAAAGGATGAGACTAAGCGACCCCAGGCCCACTCTGGTGGGCGGTGGGTGAATGGCAGCGGGGCCGGCGAGCCGCAAAGCTGCAGGAACAGCCCCTGCACCAGCAGGGGGCGCTGCCGCAGCAGGAAAGGCCGCCTGCTAAGTGCAGCTCCGGCCCAGGCCCCGGAACTAAAACGCACCAGTATCCGCAGTTGCAGATTCAGAGCCACCAGGCCCTGTCCACTCCTCAGGGGCTCGCAGTGGGGGGACCACGGCTATACCCCAAGGTGGCTCTTCTTGCTTGGGGTGGGGGAGGGGAGGAAGGTGGGATGGGAGCAGCCAGTCTGGCGGGGTGGACTTTCTGCAGGAGGTAGGGCGGGAGGTTGGGGCCCGGAGGTGGGTGTCACGGGAGGTGGGTGTCACGGGGGAGGTGGGCAAGCTGAGTTCAAGCGCCAGCACCACATCACGACTTTACAGGTTGTTTAAGTGTTCTTTCCTAGCTGACTTCTAGTTCATTGTCTCTTTTTTTTAAATATAGTTTATTGTCAAGTTGGTTTCCATACAACACCCAGTGCGCATCCCCACAAGTGCCCTCCTCCATGCCCGTCACCCCCCTTCCCCTCCCCCCCACCCCCATCAACCCATTGTCTCTATTCTTTTTAAAAGACTTTGTGGTCAAATACACATAACCCAAATTTAGCATCTTAACCCTGTTCCGGTGTCCAGGTCAGCGCGGCTCAGCACGGTCACCGTGGCGGTGCAGCCACCCGCCCCCAGAACTCATTCCTGGCAGAAGTCACACTCTGTCCCCGTTAAATACTAGCCCCCGCCCCCCTCCCCAGCCTCCCGCGCCCACCGTCCGCCTTCCGTCTGTGGCTCTGTTGCGCTGGGGACCTGCTATGACTGCAGTCTACACCGTCGGTCCCTTTGTGACCGGAGTCCTTCACGGAGCACCAGGCCCTCCAGGTTCAACCGTGTGGTAGCAGGAGGCCGGGCGTCCTTCCTTAAAGGCGGGGAACTAGTCCCTGTGCGCGTGGGCCCCACTGGACTTCTGCATTCGGCTGTTGCGTTGCTTCTGCCTTTCGGCTGCTGTGAACAGGGGGGTGTAAGTGTCTCCCTGAAGCCCTGCTTTCAATTGTTCTGGGTAAATACCAAGAAGAGGTATTGTTGGATCATGGGGTAGTTCTAATCTCAATTTTTAAAAATTTCTTATTTTGGGGCGCCTCGGTGGCTTAGTCAGTTAAGCGTCCGACTTTCATGATCTCACGGTTCGTGGGTTCGAGCCCCGCGTCGGGCTCTGTGCTGACTGCCAGCTCAGAGCCTGGGGCCTGTTTCAGAGTCTGTGACTCCCTCTCTCTCTGACCCTCCCCTGCTCACGCTGTCTCTCTCTCCTAGAAATAAATAAAAACATTAAAAAACATTTTCTTATTTTTAAATTTTATTTTATTTAAAAACAATTTTTTTTAGTTTATTTATTTTTGAGAGACAGAACATGAGTGGGAGAGGAGCAGAGAGAGAGGGAGACGCAGAGTCTGAAGCAGGTTGCAGGCTCTGAGCTGTCAGCACAGAGCCTGATGCGGGGCTTGAACTCACAGACTGTGAGATCACGACGTAAGCCTAAGTCGGACGCTTAACCAACTGAGCCACCCAGGCGCCCCTAAGTTACTTTTTTAAAGTGTTCTTTTAATGTTGATTAAAAAAAATTAATGTTTATTTTTGATTGAGAGACAGAGCAATCGGGAGGGGCAGAGAGAAAGACAGAGGGAGACACAGAATCTGAAGCAGCTCCAGGCTCTGAGCTGTCAGCACAGAGCCCGATGCGGGGCTCAAACCCACGAACCCTGAGATCACAACCTGAGCGAAGTTGGACGCTCAGCCGACTGAGCCCCCCACGCGCCCCTCGCCGCTGTGAATTCTAACTGAAACCCACGGAGGTCTGGGAGTACATACGTTGTACGATTTCCATTCTTTTCAACATATGTATATTTGCGGGTGTGTCTTAGACGCCGACGAGC